AAATCTTGAAAATGGCGAGCTATCATCAAGCTCGCAAACCTCCCGCCTTCGGTTCGCAAGCTGAAAACGAACGTAAGAAATATCAGTCTGGAACTATAACTTATATAGACAATCTGTCAGAACGCACCCGTAAACATCTTTGTTGCTGACGGTCTCGTTTTTGGACCATCTGAAGTGCATCTATTTGGTTATTGTACTTTCTCATATGCTTCACACGGTATTGAATATGTGCTTGCATCAATTTCATGATGCGTTGCGGGTCATGATCCACAATGTGATACTCTTAACCCACATACGCCTTGTTAAATGTATCCGTGCAGAATGCAAGAACACGCCTATTCCAGTCTTCTCCTTGTGCATCTCCCTGAGCAGTGCTCAAGCCAACGTAAGGAAGGCCATACTGCTGAAGTCTACGCTGGCAATATGTAACCATACCCTTTGCGGTAAGTTCCATTTCTTTGTCTTTCCAAGTTGGTTGAAGGTGGTCAGGTCTGATGAGGTTTCGGGCTGCCTCGCCAAGCGGTGCCGTCTCGTAATCCACAGTCAGTTTTGGTAGTTTATCGAGTTCTTCTCTTGTTGGCAATCTTGGAAAGTCTGCTTTACGCCGATCCACCCCAGCCATAAGTCGAAAATGCTTCTGCACCTGACTTGCCTGCACCAAACAAAAAATCAGTCTCATATGGGCGGTTTCATATTCTCAACATCAGCCATGGAGTCATTAAAAAACTTACTATTTGTTCATCAGCCTCTTTTGCTTGCGAAGACATCGAAAGTCTTTCCTTCCGAAGAGTCGGGTCCTTGGGCTTCTGTGGTGTTATGCTAGATTTCCTCCACTTCTGTGATCGCCTTGGGACAGATGCTTTCCGGGGTTGGTTGTTCCTGGTGTGACTAGTTTCGCCCTCGAGGTGTGAATTTGTTCGTGGAGTCAATGGATAATTTTCTGAGTTGTGCATGGTCACTGACGCTGGAAACGAAGACTGCAAATCTTGAAAAGTTGGATTGGCCAAGCTACTTCTAGTGGGACCATCACAATTCGAGGAAGTTTGTGAAAATGATGGATGATTTGCCGGGTTGTGCACAGGCACCGAGCCTTGGAAGGAGGATTGCGAATGTTGATCAATTGGATTTGTCGAGCTACTGGTAGTGGTACCCTCGAGGTGCGAAGCAGTTTGTAAATTCGATGTGTGTTGGTCTATCAGGCCTGAGACTTGCAAATGAGATTGCGATACGCCTTGCAAAATATCCACACTTTGGCGGTCATTGCGGCCATCGATCGAGGGTTCACTATGGGGCGATTCTCGTTCTCGAATTTCAATCTCTGAAGGCTTCTGAGAAGTGTAAGAATATGCATGGTTGGGATGTGACAGCCCGGCAGAGATATTGTTTATAGCTTTGGCTTGATCGGAGATCTGCCTCCGATTCTCCTCATCGCGAAGTTTCAGGTCCACGATTTGAAGTCGCAGATCTTCGGAAACCTGTCGGCGTGGTCACAACATTAGACATGGTCAAGTGTGCAAGGAACATAATGAAGGCTATGAATCACGTACATCAGATGTTTTCTCTTGTACTGCATTTCTTTCAATTGTGATGGCTATCTGTTTCTCGACATGATCATCTATCGTTTTCCTCAAGGCCGAAAATCTGCTATTGAATTCTTCTTCAAGGTCTAACTTGGGTTCTTCAGACTCTGTTATCATGCTTTGATCACCTACCCCTTCCGCCGACTTTTGATGGTGAATTTTCACTTTGGATCAATAACATTTCATCCAGAAGCGGAGGGGAGATCATACACATACTTTGATTTGGCTGCTTTCTTCTATCATTGCCTTAATCAATGTTAGCATGTTCTCTTGAAATCTTACGAACTTCTCAGCATCCACGGCTTCACGCTGGGCCTCGGCTTCTACCGAGAAAAGGGATGATTCGACAGCGGACACTCTGCGTTCTAGAAGATCCTCCGGCTTAAAGATGATCAAACGTGACATAGTCAGGGGGCTAGCTCATAGAAGGCCGGAAGATATCGGCAAAACATTCGACAAGAAAGTAGGCCTCACTTTTTCAATATCCATATCATCACCTGTATCCTTGAGTAGTGATAACTGCGGAGCCTCTTCCAAAAGTTCAACCTTTTGGGAGCATAGTTCAATCGTATTCCTCTGTGTTTCCACTGTACTTCGAAGTGTCTGCACGATTGTTTTCAATTCTTGAATTTCCGAAGCCAGCGGGTCGACCTGCTTTTTCATCATAGTCACGTCGTGTGATGCATTTTGGATTAATAGTTCTTGATGTAGATTGTTGATTTCTTTGCGAACAAGTCCAGCCATATGCTTTTGATCTTCATCTCTTGCGCCTGCCATCAGATTTGCCTGAGCTGCCAACAAAGTTTCGACATGTTTGAATATTTGCTTGATGATCGCCTTTTCCTGAGTAGCCAATTTCTGTAAGATTAGAAACAACCAAGGATTTCAGTGATGGAAGTTCTGGGAAATATCGGTGGATAAAAAGTTAGCAGCAAGAGAGAAATATGAAGTATAATAACCTCGTTGAACATGTGTAAATCAACTGATTTTGTGCTGTTGTCTACGGTGGAAAGCTCATTGCATACAGGCACTTGAACCAGGCCCAAAAGGTTCGACTTGACTTCTTCTTCTTCCAGGTGATCAAGCTTAGCATCAACCCCTTTCAATCTTTCTTCTATGCCCTTGATTGCGGAAGTGAGAGTTTGTATTCTGGTACAGTCCTGCTCTCCATAATCAATTCTCTACTTGTGTTGAAAGTTACATGAAGGAAATTGGTCAGAATGATTGTTGACAATATACAATTGTATGCATGCCTTGAACCTGTTTTATGGCTTCAATTGCTTCTTTACAGCTTGCAATATCATTGTGCCACGAATCATGTTGTCCAGCGATGATGTCACCTCCCTCTTTCGGCGCCATCTGAGACTTTCTCGTCAGTCATTTATATGTTGCATCGTTTGACTTAAAGAATGTAAGACTGACCATGGTACCTGAGGACTTTTTCAGTTTATTCCTTATATATTCCATTTGTGTGAGTATCATCCCCATCATCATCTTGAAAGAGTGACTGATTAGTCAAAAAATCCTAGTCGAGAAAATTTTTTTGAGACTTACCTCGTTATCATGGACTTTTTGTCCTAGGACCGAGACATGCGTGTTTTGGTCCATGGAAGTTCGAAGGTTCGAAGGGTATGAAAATGATTATGAGGGGGTGTAGATCGAGCCACTTGAACGTAAAGCTGTGAGAGGAGAACCGCGTTTTCTGGGCCAAGTTTGAGGATGGGTAAATTATTTGGTTCGAACACTGTGAGTAAAGGTGGTAGCTTATGAGATGACGGCTTGAAGGGTCGCAATTGGTTTTACTCTATGGTTGTAGATTGTAGCAACATGCACCAATGCATGACACGATCTTTATATAGAGTGAGCTCATTGTATCATCGTGACATTACGAGGTTCGAACTCATTGCTCAAATCGTAGCTGAGGCGCTGTTTCCGGAATACGTAGCACTGTCTCCTGAGTGATGGACAACAGCCATTATTGAGTGAAAGGGTTCTACCAAGAAAGAAATTCGAGAAAAAAGGGAACATGCAAGTGAGAGTTCCGAGTCTATCGAAGCGCAGTTGCTGACTCACTGACATCAACACTGCCATAGCCACGTGGTCCGTATTGAGCAGTGGCTCATAGCGCAGCAGACACGCCTCATTTAGCGCTACGTAGGTTCGAGTTTGGACATAGGAAGGAAGATCGAGTTTGCGGGTTTGGCTCGCTTTTTGCAGCTGAGCGCTTAACCCAAATCTGAAAAAAGGCGGCGTAGCGTTAGCAACTGGAAAAACCCACGATGAATTCAAACAAATGCCCGTGACGTATAGCAGAGATGCGTAAAAAGATACTGACATGCTAGGCTCCCGGTGGCGTGTTCTGATCATCAGGTTGAGTATTGATGAAGATTCGCTGATTCGTGTTTAGCACTCAGCTTCCACAGCGTTCCTATGAAAGGAGCTCTGTAAAACTCATGACGTGGAGCTGATTAAAACATGCAGTCCCTAATTGAACGACTCTTGGAAGGACTGAGGATCTAAATCATGGGTAATTAAAGGTTGTTGAGATGCTCGTCAAATAGTAGTTAACCGGAATAAACACCGAAATCCAAACAAATATGACAACGGTTTTCCTTAGTTTGGCTTGCTAAGGACTATTCTGGAGGTCATACAGCGTAAGAGCTACCTGCAAAGGCTTCAGGAAGATTCTGAAACCTACTGAAGCCGGTTTCTGTCGTGTGAACAAGTCTGCGTCTTCGCTTTCCAAAACTCAAACCGATCTTACGCCCACATCCCGCGCGTGTCACACCGAGTTCAGATATCAGCATCAGAAATCGGATTCCATTCAGAATCTCATAATCATTGCATGAAAAGCGTTTTTGCTTTCCTTCCATAGGTTAGGCCTAGCTCAGGACAAGATTGTTCTTTTTTGAACTCTCCATACCGCGGGACCTGAACACATAGGAGGTTCACGGAAGACATACTCCTCAGACTTCCACTCACAGCTGCGAACGCTCCCTATTACGGAGAGATGTCTTGGAGATCTCTAGAATATGTCTTTGCTTCCCTTCCTGCGAGCATTCGCTGTATATCCCATGTAGCCTTCTTCAACATATTTGAACCTGCTAGGGTCGGTGCGAGGTCAAAAGAATTGTCAGTTAAGTATATTAGATTTATAGAATGATTAGTGTAAGAATAAGTATTGCGAGTATGAAGGCAAACTTGAAAGAAAAGTGCAAAGAGGCATTCAGATACACTAGACGAGGAACAAACAGATATGAAAGGAGGTAAAAGTTCGCTTTTATGTTTTAGCAATATATTTTGATGATTTTGCATTTCAACTATATACATCTTAGCAGCCCTTAGTAAATACTTTCAGCGAGTGGAATTCAATAACAATGTTCATACGTCTGATAACCAATCCTTCAATACTGTGCAATCTCAAAAGTTATCATCGTCGGCTGGAAACATAGCCATCCCATATTCTCGAGAGCTCTCGAGCGTATCTTTAGCTTTAGGATCCAAAATGGATACCTTGAGATCCTCCGCGATTAGTCTCAAAGAAACCTCGGGGATCATAACTGTACGAACCCAGCTTTCAGGACTGAGAGGCGCGTCTTTTATGTAATGAAGTTGATCTGGGGCTTGATGGCGCAGGAAATGCCAATGAAGAGTTCGATAGATAATTTCTAACCCTCTGCCTCCATAGCTGTAATTCAATATCAGCTACCAAAAGATGAGAAAAATAATTGATGAGGGAAATACTTACTATCCTGGTTGTTCAAGATGAAAAGTGAGATCTCCATACCAAACACTATCCATTCGACGTGCACCATATCTCTGTAAGATGTGTAGCGCGCCGGTCAAGTAAGTGCTTTCAATATGATGATTGATGATCTGTTTCAGATCCGGTATGTATTTCTCTACACGTCTAGAATCGGAACCAAATTATTAGTGACATTGAAAAAACCACATATATGAAAGCCATGTCTTGGTCATATTTGAAGTTTGAATCACTGACTTGGATAGATCATCGAAATGAATCGATAGAGGCCACCCATTCTCGATCCCCATGGGAACATATTTGGCCTCTTCATCATGCATTGCACAGAATGCTATGCTATCAGAGAGCTGATGGGATGCAAACACATGTTGATTAGTCAAAAATTGGTCGTACGTAAAGCGCTGAAGGGGAATGAAGGCAGCCAAACCAAAGTGAAACTGACCAAAAAAGAGACCCTGTGTGATCGTTTGAGCAGAATTCCCAGGAGTCTTTGAAGTTTTTCTGAAAGCTTTGATGGAAGAGGGTCATGGCAGAAAGGGCATATAGGTGCCTCATTGTCGTTCCCGTCTTGAGATTTGGAGACTGAGTCATCATCAAGCTGCTCGGGTATCTGTCGAAGGGTTTGACTGAATTCTGAGGTGGAATCATTGTTCTGTGTATTTTCATCTTGATCAAATTGAAGCTCTTCCAAAGTTGGATTGTGCGGTCGAGATACAAGTGAACACTTGTTTTTAGTGTGTCCAGCTTCTCTACACCTACTACACTTGCGGGGAGCTTTTGTTTTTGCCGGAGCTTTTGTTTTTGCATGATTCTTTTGTTTTCGGGGAGCTTTTGGTTTCGGATCAAAACTCGAAGGATCTCGAAGTGCAGATTTGTCTTTCGACTTGTCCTTCTTGGGACCTGTTGGGCGACCATGTGTGTCGATCTTAATTTCGGGCACCTCAATATCTTCGAGTTCATATGCACCACTCTGAACTTTGGTGAATTTGTCATAGGCTGTTCGTAATGGATTTTCAGGAAGATTACAAAGACTTTGGGCTTGCATTTGTGAGTCACCTTCCAAAGCTTCCAAGGATTCTGGAATTGGGTCAGCATCAGGTCCCCACTGATGGTGAAATGCTTCAATCGGAACTTTCTGACCAAGGTGATCTTTAACTGCTAGTTTGGAAGTTTTGAAATATGATAATAAGTCCCGTATAGAACTGTCAAGGTAGCTTTTGATACTTTGATGGGAACCCTCGATACCTGAAGTTGATTGGCTTCCAAAGTGGGAGAAAGTATTTGTGAATACTTTCACATACTTTTTGACTATTGGAAACCAGTGTGACTCGAGATACTGGAGGATTTTGGATGAATGCTTCTTTGCAATTTTGACAAGTTTGGTCTTATCAGAATGAAATTCATCCTCAGTGCGAGAAGCTACAAATGCATTGGAGCAATCGTAAAATCAAATTTTTGAGACCTACCTTCTTATCATGGACTTTTTGTTCTAGGACCGAGACATGCGTGTTTTGGTCCATGGAAGTTCAAAGGTTTGAAGGGTATGAAAATGATTATGAGGGGGTGTAGATCGAGCCACTTGAACGTAAAGCTGTGAGACGAGAACCGCGTTTTCTGGGCCAAGTTCGAGGATGGGTAAATTATTTGGTTCGAACACTGTGAGTAAAGGTGGTAGCTTATGAGATGACGGCTTGAAGGGTTGCAATTGGTTTTACTCTATGGTTGTAGATTGTAGCAACATGCACCAATGCATGACACAATCTTTATATAGAGTGAGCTCATTGTATCATCGTGACATTACGAGGTTCGAACTCATTGCTCAAATCGTAGCTGAGGCGCTGTTTCCGGAATACGTAGCACTGTCTCCTGAGTGATGGACAACAGCCATTATTGAGTGAAAGGGTTCTACCAAGAAAGAAATTCAAGAAAAAAGGGAACATGAAAGTGAGAGGTTCGAGTCTATCGAAGCGCAGTTGCTGACTCACTGACATCAACACTGCCATAGCCACGTGGTCCGTATTGAGCAGTGGCTCATAGCGCAGCAGACACGCCTCATTTAGCGCTACGTAGGTTCGAGTTTGGACATAGGAAGGAAGATCGAGTTTGCGGGTTTGGCTCGCTTTTTGCAGCTGAGCGCTTAACCCAAATCTGAAAAAAGGCGGCGTAGCGTTAGCAACTGGAAAAACCCACGATGAATTCAAACAAATGCCCGTGACGTATAGCAGAGATGCGTAAAAAGATACTGACATGCTAGGCTCCCGGTGGCGTGTTCTGATCATCAGGTTGAGTATTGATGAAGATTCGCTGATTCGTGTTTAGCACTCAGCTTCCACAGCGTTCCTATGAAAGGAGCTCTGTAAAACTCATGACGTGGAGCTGATTAAAACATGCAGTCCCTAATTGAACGACTCTTGGAAGGACTGAGTATCTAAATCATGAGTAATTAAAGGCTGTTGAGATGCTCGTCAAATGGAACTTCACCTGAATAGACCATACGTGTTCCCTACAATCTACATAGATAATTCCGCTTCACTTAGTCCGGAAGGCATTTTATACAACTCCAAATTAGCAGAACTCTTATACCGCTTGATACCATAGAAAAATGACCGATCAACATGGAATTTCTCATCACTCCAAATGCGATGGATGCGATGGCTCTACCCAAAAGAATAGAAGAAGCAAGGGAGGTGTCTCAGGGAGACCAGCACATGTCGAAGAGCCCCATACCAACCAGAATCCTAGACTTAGAATATCTGAAAGGCGATCAGCGAATATGAAGGGTACGAGTTGACTATCTTTAACTTATGAAAAATGTCCCTCTGACTCAAGTACAAACCATGACATCAGGAATTCTATGCTGGCGCTTTTTTCTCTCCATATTGAACTATCTAAACCTCGTGGCGATAATAGGAATATGGCTTACTGCTCGACATCCGACTGGATGCTTTGTGGACTTTTTGACGGACTGGGCTCCCGAATTTCTACCGAGTGTATGGAGCAATATGTGTTTTACGTGTCGAGGAAGTCTGACAACGTGGCTCAAGATTTCGGCACCCGAGTCATTTTGTTTGGAGGTATTGCATAAGTTTTTGATGGTAGTCTTTGTTATCCTTGAATAAATATAGGACAGATGTCTCAGATTTCCTACGTTGTTGCTTGTGTTCAGCTGGGATGCTTTTAGATTACACCAATTGACGTAGTGAGATTTCAGAAGAGTATAATAATCTTCATAGTGTGACATTACAAATTTGAGCATGAAAACAGTTATAAGCTCCAAGGTTGACTGTCACAAGGAAGTACGCCTGTAAAGGGCTGTGATACGTGATTAGGGGTTCATCTTCAGACATGTGCAGCATGTTGAAATCAAAAAGTAGATATCTGTTACTCCCTAATTAAGACTTGTTTGATGTTTTCATCGACATACCAGGCTGTACTTTTTTGTATGATAATTTGTGCAGGGTTTCAAGGTGATGAACACAAAAATCGAAATTGACTGAAAGACCTCATATCAGAATTCTGAAAAACATAAAAAGAAATGAGGAGCAGATCACATGATACTTTTTATGAGGGAACAGATCAGAGGTAATACAAACGACGAGAGTTTGGATCATCAGACCTAAGATGGGACATCCTCCATAACTACATGTATCATAAAAGAATACGTAGCATTAGCATTTCAGGGTAAACATGAGTGCATATCGAATTCGAGAGATTCAAGACATTTCATAAGGACTCTAGATGAGGCTTAATCTGCATGAGCATATTCATCCAACCATGCCCAGATGAACCAGAAGAAATGTATCAAGGATACTACCAAAAGTGCCCGAAACTTCCAATCAAAGCGGAAAGCTTTCTCATGAGAGATATTCGTGGCCGGGGCAGTAGGATCTAAGATAAGAGAGTCACACATCAATGGTTCTACCTCTTTCGAGCTTTGAGGATCAATTAACATGTGGAGCTGGTTGGCCATACCTGGGTTTGGAGCCGAGCTGCTTTCCAATTGGGTATGATGCGGACTCCCAAAGGCAGTTGACATGTCACTGATTGAGTTGTTCGATCTAGAATTTCTGGGCACATTGCTGGAATTTCGATTTGTTTCTTGAGTGAAGGAAGAGCCTTTCGGAGAGGAATGATGAGATTGTAGAAGAGTAAACTTTTCCGGATTGATGCTGATTCCAGAGAAGTTATCTTGCACAGGATGGCATGCAGAGGTGTTCCGAACACCACTTCGTCGAAAACTTGGCTCATCCCTACCTCCCTGGTTGGTAGATACTGCTCCCTCATATGTGCGTTCTCTTTGTCGTATTCGCAAAGTGTTTCCTGCACGAACAGAGGGCAAAGGAGACCGCTCGGTTGAAGAAGTACGACTTCGAGTGACATTTGATGAACCGGGCAAATCGTTGGTGGGTGTGGAACATTTTTTAGAACTATGAATTGGAGTGATATTGGATGAACCGGGCACATCGATTGGTGCGGAACATTTCTTAGAAGTTCAAGTTCGAATGACATTGGATGAACCGGGCAAATCGCTTGGTGTCGAACATTTCTTTCTCTTGAATTCAATTTGACTCAGATCTGTCACTTCAAGCAATCCGAACCATCAGGCTTGATGATGATGCGAAGTGAATTTTTACAAGAACTTACATTTGTAGACCGGGCACCCAGGGGCACAAAACGCATGTTGCCTGGTGGTGAGAGTATGGTTGCGAACACCGGTCCGGTTCAAACCATTGCAATCTTGGCATGGTTTCCCTTTGCTACTGGGATCATAACACGTAGGGAGATGAGGACACTTGTAAGCCACGTTGTTTCCCCCTTTACGAGTTGACATGAGACGTAAATTGATATTGATATGGTTTGAGAGTAGTAGGCCAGTAAGTCGGGTGAAGATTGAAGTATCGTTGGATTGATTGAACTGCGAGGTTGAGGATTATCAGTTGTCTGAGATGGTGGTTGTACGAGTTAGAGCGACATCACCTAACTTTTGTTACTTGACAAAACCTAAAGGGGACTGGAGGTTTTGGGTTTTGTGCGGGCTATAGACAACAACCCCCTTTGTTGTTGATCATCGTAATTTGGTTGGACTTGTAGTTCTGTATGACTCATTTCGGGGTATTGATACATAATCCAAACCCTACGTTATACTTCTCCGGCTTCTGCAGGCCCTCATGAAGGAGAGTGGATTGCGGATTTGTTATATATCATCAGCTAGATCAGGATAGCATTTTGATGACTTGGTATATGGCAAAATACGTAGTTTCACCATAGTTTCACCAGTACGTAGTTTCACCAGAGAAGCTCAGATCAGAAAGATTTGACGAAGCATCTTCACCTCTTTCATGCAAAACTGGTAATTGAGAGTATTTGGTTCAGAAGGTATACGAAACAAGCGGTGTATTCACATGAGGCCAAAGAAATGAATTTAGAATATGGTCATAACCCCAAAGGCGAACACTATTGAAAAGACAAGGATTCACAAAATCTAAATGAAAAAATCAACTTAGGGAAATCGACTTGGAAGAATCAGCTCAGACCAGAAAGATTTGACAAAGCATCTTCACCTCTTTCATACAAAACTGTAATTGAGAGTATTGGGTTCAGAGGGTAGTTGACAAACAAGCGGTGTATTCACATTAGGTCAAAGAAATGAATTGAGAATATGGTCATAACCCCAGAGGTGAACGCTATTGAAAAGACAAGGATTCAAAAATTCTAATTGGCAAAACAGAATTGAAATGACTTCTCAAAGAGAAAAACAATGAAATTTCAGAGAATCCAGAGGCTAAAAATCATTTTGCCATATCCCGTACTTGATTGCAAGTGCTTTCATCTTTTTGTGAGCTTGTTCTTTATAGCCAGTCAAAACAGAAGCCTGATAAGTATCCCAGTCTTCTTCAGACATCGTGGATCGCAAGGCTTTGACTTTATCAAGTCGATTCACCAAGGCCTGAGAAATTTGACAAGAGCAACCGAATCGAGTAATTTCGGCGGTTTCCACAGAGATTTGCTTATGGTCAACATCGTAAGTCTTGGAGGCGCTAGTTC